CATTAAAATCCATATTTCCAGACTGGCTGAGAAAAATGGCAAAACTAAACATATATTCCACATGGCAACAGGTAGCTGTATCACAGCTCCTGTATATGTCCCCAGCACTTCATTTTACCCCACAACAGGATTCCTGCCTGGACCCGGCAGACGGCTGAGTTTATTTCTTGACTGAGGCCAAGCATCTTTTCTTGGGTAAAATATTCCCCAAGTCTACTAGGTCCCGTTGGTTGTCCCTTTCTGTGAGCCTCCATAACACTCTCTGGGGACTTGTCTTTTTTTAAAGAGATTTAATTATAAATGACATGTGACGCCTGTAGGTGCAGATATTAGCAAAACAAAAGTAAGAGTAGATACAGTTGACTGTACTCTTATTTTGTGCCAGGCATTCTATACACTGCCTTATGGTATTATCAACTCCTCAAACCAAATTTTCAAGTGAATTTTATCATCTTTAATTCACAGACAGACAAACGAAGACTGAGACGAGGTAAGAGAGCTTCTCAAGGTCACAGTGCTGCTAAGTAGTACTGGGATTAAAACCCAGGACTTTCAGGCCCCAAAACCTATGGTTTTCACTACCACACTATGTTTACTCCCGTGTTGTGAGCACAGGATTTCTAATCCTTGCATATACCCTGGTAGAAATACAAAAGCTAAAACTGAACCACATCTATTGGAAAGAGAAGCCAAAAGTACACTTTTGGTGCTGTTTTCTCTTGTCCTCAAGACCAGAATTAGTCCTGGCATCCCCACCGCCAGGTGCCAATGACTCAGGAGAGGGTCGGGGCTGACAAGGCTATGTTAAGTCTCTACGGCAAGTCTCTACTAGCCTTTGACAAAAGGGGCTAAAAACGTGAGGGATGAAAGGTTGCCCCAAATTGAAAGTCAGATTATGTCTGTTGGCAATGGATGAAGATACCATTCTGGGCACAAATTCATCTGTTGGAAAGCACAAGTCTCTGACAAATTTAATTCTCATGTTTGTGTATTTTTGAGAGTCTAGCATTAGTCTAGCGTTAGTTAGAGCTAAGAGCATAGCCTCGGCAGTAAGAATCTTTGAGTTCAAATCCTGGCCTCTGCAGTCACTTGACCTCGGGCAAGTCACTTAAGCTCTTCCATTTTTTGACGTGTGTAATGAGGGTAATGTCGGTCCCTGCTACACAAGGTACAGGAAGAATTGGAGGCACTTATGAGTCTTGATCCAGGGTAAGTATCGTAAAAGGGAAAAGTCCGAAAGCTCAGGGTTCAGCCAGGTAGACGGCATCTACTATGAATCCCTATCACAGCTCCAACTGGATCCAATCTGAAAGTCGCTCTAACTTTGAAAACAGCTCAAACTTCCTTCCATGCAATTTCATAGCAGATCTGAAACTGTTTAGCTGCACCAGCCCAGGCGATAAGTGAAGAGAGGAAGGCCTGTCTGTGTTTATAGCCTTTGACAAATGGGCTCTCATCTCCTCCTGACAGATTCTACCCCCAGCTGATCCATCCACCTCTTCTGCCGTCACCTGAATCACGGTCTTCATAATAGTACTGAAATTCAGATGGATTTCACACCACAAATAAAAATGAATTTAAATGCCTCAGCTCCCCACCAGCAACACGGGTACTGTAAATGTCAAACACACACGGTTTTGCAAGGCCAGACGGCGGCTCCGAGTGATGGGTTACCTTGTGTCACCTTTGCTAAATCTGCATTAGCTCTGTGGCATTCACCTGTGGGAGGAAACAATCTGAGCTCTGCTTCCCACTTAAGGGTGAAAAATGCTGCCAGCCCTTGAGAGCTCCCTGTGACAGCCTTCTGGGTGATGCTAAGAAATGGCCAGAAAGCCATCTACATGCAGGTCTATTCACAGGGGCTCTGCTAATTGGTGGGCTTGCAAGAAAAAGGGAAATGTAAAACAGGAGGCACACCCGAGTACACACTGTGAATCTCTCCACACACAACCAGGCAGGGTTCTCCTTGCCAATGTCTGCCGATGGAACATATGCATCTGGGATAGAGAAAAATAGACACACAGGAGAGAAAAACGATTCTCTCATTGGGTCAATGCTGTCAGGTGGAACCAGCCTGCGTGCAGACCCGAAGAGCAAAGTTACTTCTCTTCATTAGGATGAGGGCTCTATCTCTTGCAATTCAGCATTTATCTCCCATCATTATACCTGGTCTGGGATTCAATCAGTTCAAAAATGATTCAGCTCAAGGTGAACGTCCCTACCAAATAGGATGGGGTGTGCAACTGGAGGGGGCAGGAGGGAGAGACCCTATTAGACTCTACAGCAAAGGTGAGATCTTGTTCTCAGAAATTCTTCTATCCAGAAGGGACTCAACCATACACGAATGTGCAGGTGTAAGCACACAGATACATCCACAGATAGAGTATACACTGAAGAGAGGCAGACAGGAAGGAAAAGTGAAAAGAAAATGAAAAAAGGAAAAAAAAAAAAAACAGTGTTCTTAAACATGCACCGAGTCCTACCGACATTAGGTTAAGCTTTCTTAACTAAAGGAAATGGAGCTTTAAAGATATCACTGCTGGTTTCCCTTCAGAGCACTCAGCGATTCGTAAAAACCCACCCGGGCCAAGGGGCTGTGTCTTCAGAGGCAGGCTGACTTATTATGGCACCTCTGTCATCTCTTGTCACTTCAATTCCACTTTATCAAATTACTGATTTTGCCAGAAGCATTCGGATTAAATGGAGAGGGGTGCGCACACACACGCAGGACTGAGTGTCATCGCTTCAATGGTGAAATTTCATAATTATACGTCAGGGTGACAGACGTTCCAGAGTGCATTCGAGAGACTGGATGAAGATCACTCCAGATGCCACGGCCGCTGTCTCCCTGCATGCCCTCGCACCATATCACGGTACGCGGGGGTGGGACTGGCACTCTTCAGTGGAGGGCGGGACACTGCCCCTCTGGGATGGCTAGGGTTGACATTTCCATTAGGAGGCAAGACCCTGATGTAAAGAGCCTCCCCCAATACCTCACCCCCACTCCCAACCACATTAGGCGACCCAGAGAAGCTACTGCCCAAATGTAAGAATCAGCCCAAAAATAAACTGGAAAAGAATTGGAGAGGAAGAAAAGTTTTCCTTTCAAACAGAGCGAATAAAAAATCCTTAGAAAATAAGACGATCAAACTGGAAGGAGTCATTACAACTGTTGCTTTGCCAGGAGTCATCACCAATTAACTGCGGCAAAAGGGGTGTGGTTAATTCATGTATCATCCTTCATGAGCACTCATGTTTGGAAAACAACAGGTGAACCTGTTTAGAGATGAGGCTTTATCTAAAGTGCCTGACTCAACCCCACAGGCTATGACAAAGCATAGAAATGCGTGTGTGTGTGTGTGTTTGTGTGTGTGTGCACATGTGTTACTGTTTTCTGAAAACAGTTGAAGCCATGTACAGAATGATCACATACGGCTTTTCCCCACCAGTCGGATCCACAGACTTGGGAGATCCTTATCACCATGATGTATGAACCAGTGGTAGTTTGGCTAGGTAGAATGGAGCTATGTGGCCAGCTTTCACTGCCCAGAGATTATCCTGGCTGCTCATTTATCTTGCTGGTGATGGAGCTGATATTGTTTTAACAGCATCAGGTCTCCTGGTATCTTTCAAACACTACTGGCAAAGAAGGTACCAAAAAAAATAATACTCAACAGAAACATGCTTATGAATTCTACAAAAGTCCAAGGGAAGTAGAAACAACCTGAACGTAGGAAGCAGGGCAAGAGACATGCTTTCACTGTGATGTGGGCAGAGTGGCTGGGGCAGATCACTGGCGGTACGACCAGTAGGAACAGATGAGAAAAGACTGTAGACACATGTTCAGCCTACGTTCCATTTGTCCAACTCACAAAATACACACCCGCAAGAATGCCGACACGCAAACAACACAGGGGATGCAAATATGAGTAGAAATGCCTTTGTCTGCAAATGAGAGCGACCCAAACCTGGAAAGGAGCTGAAGATCAGGCAGAGAGAATCTCAGCTACCGTATCATTATTCCTTTCAACACGAAGAGATTAACACTCCTTAAAATAATGCACCGTAATTGCGTTTTATTTAAAAGCAAATTTTGTTTTGAGGAGTGCTCAACCACCTTATTAATCAGCAGATGACTGAGCTATCACCAAATCAGGGCTGAAAACCTCTGCTTGACATAATACCTGCATTCGACAATAATGGTACAGTTGCACAGAGAAACATCTTTCAAAATTGTGGAACGATGTCAAAAGTAGCTGGGAGATATGTACCCTCAATTCACTTATTTGACCTCTTTGGATCCAAGGCATTAAAGGCAAAATTTGATCTGCTTGGATGCGCTTTACCAGGGAAACATCTGTGAACTCTTGTCAATAAGGACAGACTGTGGAGAACAATTGTCTAACAGCTGTTTTTCCTGAGGGGATCCACACCAAGTATAACAGGAAGATGAATGGGGGTTGGGGTGACTCTGAAAATGTAGGAAATGACCTCCCCTCCCTGCCCCCCAAAAACATCTCACATAAATAGATTTATGTGATAGAAAGTAGCCGCTCATGTAAATGTGTCATGATGGAAAGAAACTGAGGCAGCCTCTCTTTCAATGTGTATAAAAACCAAATGTAGGGACACAGCTTGGAAAGTCCAATATTTTATATTTTATCTCATATGTAATATTATAATCATCAATGATGTTCAACAACAATGTGAAATGAGTTAAGGATAAATGAGCTATGAGAAGCATATGACTAAAATAAAAACCGGCACCAAGTTTTTTAATACTTAATTATGTAATGTACTCTTCATTGAAGCCATTGGAGATAACAGAGATCGCAAAGAAAAAAAAAGACGAATCTTTTAAAGTATGACTGTCTTTAAGTGTCTAATATCAGTACATGAATCACCTTTGCAAACCACTGTCCAGCCTTTAAACACTTGGGTTTATATCATAGAGTTCTTGTTTTTTTGGGGAACCAAAAAGATGAAAAATACTGACTTACCTTTCTGTCCTCTATTTCCACACAGGTATTGCAGTCTGCTTTGATATCCTGAGATGGTGAGAAAAGAAAGAGAAAGAACAGGAATCAGACTTATGGTCAAGGAACATTCAGCAGTGTCGTTGAAATGCCCTTTAAAATAATAAAAAAACCCACGCTCCTAATGGTTGTTTCTCGAGCCATTGCTCTTTATAGCCCTTTTAAGAAGTATATGCCCTGGTGTTTGCATTAGAGACATATGGATGTCATAACTAAGCTTCATTACATGCAGATGTGGGGTGAAGGCAAAAGCTATGGATCAGAGGCCACAACAAAGAGAAGCTGATGGCTCATAAAATAATATGCCCCCCCCCAATACCTTTATTCACATCAGCAGGAACTGCCCTCAACTCTCTCATTCCAGATTTAGGATATTCAAACCTACCTTCCTTCAACACAAAACCATCACCATCTATTTTTTTTATCTTTCTGTCTGTCCAGCTATCCACCCTGTCATCCATTCATCATCCATCCATCCATTTATCCATGCATCCATGGTTCCTTCCTTCCATCCATCTGTATTGTACATATACTTTTTTATGCACTTTTTCATGTTGCTCTGGAATGTAAAGATGAAAAAAAAAAAAACATGGTTTCTACTCTCAAGGAATTTACCAGTTAGATAAAATGTCTCCCCCACCCCACATATGTAATTGTAATATTCATTCACTAATGCATTCAGAAGATAAACATTCAGCACCCTTGCTCTAGGAAATGAAGACTCAATGACATACAAAACACATGGAAAGTCCTGCCCTGGAGAGGCTTACATTCTGCTACAAGAGAAAGGCAATAAAAAAGAAACATCAATAAATGGTATTTTATAAGAGGATACGTACTATGAAGAAAAATAAAGCATGGAAAAAGGAATGGAAATGTAAGGATGGGGGAATAAAATTTTAAATTTAAAGAGAAGTGGCAGGGGCATCCTGGTGGCTCAGGAGGTTGAGCAACTGAATTGGGCTCCAGTCAGGATCTCACAGTTCATGACATTGAGCCCCACGTGGGGCTCTGCACTGACATCTCAGAGCCAGCTTGGGATTCTGTCTCCCTCTCTCTCCTCCCCTCCTCAGTACACACACACACACACACACACACACACACACACACACACACACTCTCTCTCTCTCTCTCTCTCCCTCTCAAATAAATGAATAAATAAATAAATAAACAAAACAAACATTAAAAAAATATTTTTAAGAGAAGTGGCAACTGAGCAAAGGCTTGACGGAAGTTAGGGGATGAGCCTGCTCCTGGGGAAAGAGCATATCAGGCAAGGGAGAGCAAGTGCCAAGTATAGGACACAGTTAAGCTACAGGAAGGAGGAAGGAAGACTCGGGACAGGAGAGAAATTTATTAGGAAAATAGTGGGAGATGAGATCTGAGGAGGACATTGGGCTTTATTCTGAAAGTAGTGAGGAACCACTCAAGTTTTATCGTGTTGTATCTTGTGGCAAAATACACGTAACACTTACTATTTTGACCATTCAAAGTGTTTAGTGGTTTAGTGGCATGAAGCGCTTTCATGTTGTCGTGTAAACATCCCCACCCTCCATCTGTAGAACTTCTTCATCCTCCAATTGAAACCCTACTCCCATTAAACACTAAGTCCCCACTCCTCCCGCCCCCAGTCCTTGGCGGCCTCAGTGCTACTTTCTTTCTCTGTGGGTGTGACTACTCTAGGTACCTCATAGGGTCAGTCTGCTACGTCGGCCACAACGAAAGACCACAGATTGGGCGACTTTAATAAAAGAAATCTATTTTTTTTTTTTTCACAATTCCAGAGGTCACAAGTCCAGAATCGAGATGCTGTCAGGGTTTGTTTCTGGTAAGAACTCTCTGGCTTGTAGATGGCCACCTCCTGACTGTGCCCTCATGTGGTCTCTTCTCTATATGCAAGGAGAGAGATCTCTGGCATTCCTTCCTCTTCTTATAAGGACATGAGTGCCATCAAGCTAGGACCCTATGACCTTTTAAATCTCCATTATCTTCCTAAAGGCCCTATATCTAAAAACAGTCACATTGGGGGTTGGAGCCTCAACATATGAATTTGGGAATAGGGTACAATTCAGTGTATAACACTCATATTAGAGGGATCATACAGTGTCTGTACTTTTGTGTCTGGCTTATTTCATCTGGCATGTCTTCATCTAAGACTCAGCCATATAGTAGCAGATATCAGAATTTCATTCCTCTTTAAGGATGAAGAATATTCTATTCTATGTACACATTACATTTTGTTGACCCATTCATCCATGGATGGTTGTTTCCACCTTTTGGCTACGATGAATAATGAACATGGGTGTTCAAGTCCTTGTTTTCAATTCTTTCACATATATACCCAGAGGTGGAAGCTGGATGGAGTCCACAGGTGTCTTAAAGGATTGGAGGTGGAATATGAGAGAAAGACATAGGCCACGAACCATTCCAAGGCCACTCCATTCTAGAATGGAGATGGGGGGCTATGGGTAGCAGAATGGTGTAGGGGTCTTCAAACAATAATGGCTTGGGGGTAAGTTAAATCTATAGAAATATTTATTCTCTCATTGATAAGTACTTTGGTCTATTCTGCTGATGCATCCTTGGGAGAAAGTTGATTAAGTGGAAGGCCATTACCATGGTGATTTTATATTAAGCACAAGAAATTCTAGATCTGTATGAATCAAGAATGGAACCTAAGGAGACAATATCATAAGGTGAAGTTCTTGTTTTTTGTCATTTGTGGGGGTTTTTTGTTTTTGGGTTTTTTTTTATTGTTTGTTTGCTGGTTATTTTTATGTAACAGACTGTTTCAATATCTGTAAAATGGGACTGAAACAGTGAACAATGATTGAATGACTCCTTGGTGCCCAGAACTGGGCAGGTGTTTTTCATACTTGTCTCTAAGCTGCCCACAACCAAGCAAGGTTGGTGTTTTTAGTTTTACCATAAAAATATTGATGTGAGTGATTACGTAACTCATCCTAGGTCACACAATGACGGAGCATAAGTCTACACCTGGAAATGGCTCCTACACTAGGCACTTTCCACTCCTTTCAGGTAATTTTATTTTGTTTTAGTCAAGGTGGTTGGTCAGTATGGATAATTCAGGCCCTATGTCTCATTATGTTCCTTCCTTTTTTTTTTTAAGTTTATTTTATTTTTGAGAGAGAGAGAGAGAAAGAGAGAGTACACAAGCATGAGTGGGAGAGAAGCAGAGGGGTGGGGGGAGCGAATCCTAAGCAGGCTCCAAGCCATCAGCGCAGAGCCTGACGTGGGGCTCCAACCCACAAACCATGAGATCATGACTTGAGCCAAAATGAAGAGTTGGATGCTTAACCAACTGAGCCACCCAGGCATTATTTTCCTTTCTATGCAGAGGAGGGACATCTAAAGCAAAATCATCTAGAGAAGAGGCACCGTTGTGATTCTCAAAGCATGGTCCCCATAACAGCAGCATCAACATCACCTGAGAACCTTCAAGAAATGCATATTCTTGGTCCCCACCCAGACCTAATGAAGTGATCCCTGCTTTAGCAATCCCTCCAGGCATTCTGCTAGGGGCTAAGGCTGAACAGTGTCATGGCTAGCAGTTCATGCTGAAGCCAGACTCCTGCATCCCAGGTGTGGTGCCATAACATGAGAGCTGTGTAGCTTGGGCAAGTGTCTCTACCTTCCAAAATGCCAGTTGTCTTATCTGTAACATAGGGGTAATATTAGAAACTAGCTATTCAAAGTGGGGTCTGTGCCCCAGAAACTACAGTATCACCTGGGAGCTTGTTAAAATGGAGCACCTCAGGCTTCACCCCAGATAGACTGAATTAGAATCTGCATTTTAACAAATGTGTAGACTGGGGCGCCTGGGTGGTTAAGTTAAGCGGCTGACTTTGGCTCAGGTCATGATTTTTCTTGAGTTTGAGCCCTGCATCAGGCTCTGTGCTGACAGCTCAGAGCCTGGAACCTGCTTCAAATTCTGTGTCTCCCTCTCTCGGCCCCTCCCCCACTCACACTCTGTCTCTCTCTCTCTGTCTCTCAAAAATAAATAAACAATTTTTTTTTTACTTAAAAAAATGTGTAGACTGAATGACTGTGTTCCCCAAAATGCATATGTTGAAGCCCCAAACCCCCAGGGTGACTATATTTGGAAATGGGGCCTCTAAGGAAGTAATTAAAGCTAAATGAGGTCATAAAAGGGGGAACTTTATCTGATGGGATTAATGTCTTTTTAAGAAGAAATACCAAAGAGGGGCGCCTGGGTGGTGCAGTCGGTTAAGCGTCCGACTTCAGCCAGGTCACGATCTCGCGGTCCGTGAGTTCGAGCCCCGCGTCAGGCTCTGGGCTGATGGCTCGGAGCCTGGAGCCTGTTTCCGATTCTGTGTCTCCCTCTCTCTCTGCCCCTCCCCCGTTCATGCTCTGTCTCTCTCTGTCCCAAAAATAAATAAAAACGTTGAAAAAAAAATTAAAAAAAAAAAAAGAAAAAAGAAGAAATACCAAAGAGCTTGTTCCCTCTCTCTCTGTAACCATGCACAAAGGAAAGGCCATGTGAGAACACAGAGAGAAGGGGCCATCTCTGACCCAGGACTAGTACTCCCCAGAACCTGACCTTGCTGCCTTCCTGATTTTGGACTTTGAGCTTCCAGAACTGTAAGCAAATACATTTCTCTTGTTTTAAGTCTCTCAACCTGTACTATTTTGTTATGGCAGCCTAAGCTGACTAAGGCAACGAGATTCCCAGATTATCTGCCAAGCCCCAGTCTTGGGGTCATGGGCTCATGGTTTTCTCACCACACCCCTATTTAATCGCTGAGGTCTTTGATTGACCTTGAACCTTTACTCTTACTAACAACTGTCTTGGAGTTCCTGCACTAAGACACATAGTGACTAACTCAGTATGGGAGTGATGAAAATCACGAATTATTTTTAAACCCAGGAGATGCCATCTAGAAACAAGGCAAGATAAAGCAGTTCCTCATCTGTTTTATGCTATTCTGACTGGGGGAAGTATGCATTCCTTTCTTTCCTCCAGTGAAAATATGTGGAGTGTGCAGGGAAGAGTCCATATCCAGTTTTGATTTGCCCACAAAGAAGTGGCAGGTGTTAATCAACTAACTCACGAAATCAAGAAGCCAAAGGCAAGTTTTTGTTTTTAATCTGCCACCACGGACCCATGCAAGTGACTGAAAAAAGCCATCTGGCAGAATCAGAGCTCTTGCCATCTCCCTAAGATTATTCGATTTATTCTTGTCAGGATTAATTTACTAAACCCATGCTGGATTTTTTATTTAGATGATATTGTTGGTTTGTCATGCACTGCAGATCTACACGGGAGGCACCACAGGGGACTGCGCTTGCTTCTGAACAATGTTGGGCTCAAATTGGAAAAATGTCACTTTGGCGGGAACAAATTATTGTTCCGATCGCTCCTCGTAGAGCTGGTGTCTCCGGATGGGCTCCGACCTGACCTTTTCCGAACCAGAGTAGTCGAGTAACTACTTCAGCCCCATTTGATGACTTCACTAGGAAAACAGCTCAAGTACTTAAGTGTTAAGGATGAATTTGGGGCCATGTACTCATCACTAAGCAATCAATTTCCCCACAGAAGCCAGCCTTCTCCTTTCTGTAGTTGGAAAAAACTCCAAACAGTGACTTAATTACTGGCAACAGATAGGATTTTCTACATGCTAAGGAGTCACACTGTTTGGGTTCATACAACTGAATTCCCTGTATGTAAAATAAGAAAAATGATAGCCACTTCATTTGTTGGGAGGCAAATCTAATACATGCAAAATCTTAGCATATATCAAGTCATGGATAAATGTTAGCTATCATTGATGGCACCCTCCAAGCGTCTTTGTGAGACCTGGTTCTGAGCAGAGTATTGAGAACTTAAAAAAAGTTTTATTTTTAAAGTATGCTCTTCCAAGTCTTCTGAGTTCTTCCGGCTTTTAGACATCAAAGCACTTGTGTATCTGTTCTTTTCAAAAGCTGTTCTCTCTCCCCAGAGAAACTTAATTTCTTCTGCATTTTGTATGGTAGTTGTTTCTGATGATTTTTGTAGGTCAGGGATATTTATGCCCACAATTCAGAGAACCATCATCCTGTATCATACATTAGCACCATTCACAGCTCCGAAATGCCCAGAAGTTAAAGGTCCCTGTGAACAGGTGGGGATAAATGTCTGCCAGTGAGATTCTGGAGGCCTCCGAGGATTTAGAAGCAAGGAGTCTAGAGTGGGTGGAATACTAAGTCTCAAAAGATATGTCCATGTCCCAAAGCCTGGAATCCGTGAATGTGACCTTCTTTGGAAATACGGTCTTTGCTGATGTAATTAAGCATCTTGAAATGAGATCATCAAGGTTATCTGCATGGACCCTAAATCCAATGACAAGTGTCCTTTTAAGAGATAGAGAAGAGATATCCATATGAAGACAGGCAGAAACTGGAGTGACAGAGCCACTAGCCAAGGAGTGCCCATAACAACTGGGACCTGGAAGAGGCAAGGGAAGCATTCACTCGCAGAGAATCTGGTAGGAGGTAACCCTGCTGACAGAAGATGAAACCAGCCAGGGGCACCTGGGTGGCTCAGTCGGTTGGGGATCCAACTTCAGCTCAGGTCATGATCTCGTGGTTTGTGGGTTCAAGCCTCGCATCGGGCTCTGTGCTGACAGCTCAGCGCCTGGAGCCTGCTTCGTATTCTGTGTCTCCCTCTCTCTCTGCCCCTCCTCACTCATGCTGTGTGTGTGTGTGTGTGTGTGTGTGTGTGTGTGTGTGTGTCTCAGAAATAAACACTAAAAAATAAAAATAAAAATAAATAAGATGAAACCATCCACCCTTAGCATCCTTAAAGATTTAAGAGTCAAAATTATTCAGGGGGGAATGACATGGGAAACAAAGGCAGAAGGAAATGAAAAATGAAATTAAATTTTATAACCTGCAGCCCATTGACAAATACTTGAGGCAGGCAAAGTAGAACATTTCTCCAGGAACCCCCTACTGTCTTCAAGTTAATGCTTTGCTAGAGGGAAAAACAACCTTAGCTTGACAATAGCTAGTCCATTAATATCCTGTGAGTCTTCTTTAGCATATGAAAATCCCTTTAGGAACTTGCCCTTGACTTTACCTCCCCCAACTCCCAAGTATATAATCAGTCTCTCCTCACAATCCTGGGACAGACAGCTCTTTCTGCCCAAGGGTCTTGTCCCTATGCTTTAATAAAATCTTTTTGTATCCTAGACTTCTCAAGAATCCTTTCCTGGGTGCCTGGGTGGCTCAGTTGGTTAAGCGTCTGACTTTTGGCTCAGGACATGATTTCACGATTCATGAGTTTGAGCCCTATACTGGGGATTTGCACAGAACCTGCTTCAGATTCTCTGTGTCCCTCTCTCTCTGTCCCTCTCCAGTGCTCAATCTCTCTCTCTCAAAATAAATAAATAAACATTAAAAAAAGGAATTATAAGTGGGAAAAAAAAAAAAAGGAATAGTTCTTTCTTGGCCATTGGCTCTAGACCTCCACCACCATGCCAAAACCCCATCATTGATTTCAGACTTGTGCCTGCCAGAGCTGTGAGAAAACACAGTTCTGCTGTAGTAAGCCACAAAATTGTGATAATTTTTTACAGAAGCCATAGGAAACTGATCAAGAGCCTCAAGGAGCTTCCGGTGTAAATCTCTCTTGATACTTGCCTACTCACCACTGAGAAAAGAAAGGCATGATCCAGGGACCACCCCATGAAAGCCAACCCCTAGGGAAGAAAAAAAAAACCGTTTACACAGGCGATTCCAGGGCAACTGCATGCTGTTATGACCACAGGCCCTTGTGTTTTCAGAAGATAGCACCTGAAATCTATGTTAATGATTTCAGGTATCAACCCTGGAAGGGCAATATAGAGAAAAGACTAGGCTGCTTATATTGGACTAAGAGTCAAGTATGGTCTTATCTCTAATGTGGCATTGTTCTCCTGGGCTCAGATAATCACCAAGTACCAGAGAATATTTCAAAGGAAATACCTATAGCTTAAAACATCTCTCTAGAGCTGGAGGACCAGGATTCACATGACAAGCCCAAATAGGGTTTATAATCAACTACCCTTCTATTGGGGGAGAAATCCAGATGTTTTGCTCTTTCTCTTCAAATGGGACAAATGCTATGACAAGACAGTTTTAATATTAAGAAAAAAATATTTTCCAACACCACACTCCAAAAAGAATCCCAAAATTCATTTTAAATTCTGAATTAACATTTTACAGGGGAGGGAAAAATAAGTTTGCCTCTCTGGGTTCTTGGCTAATATCCCCCACAATAAAAGATTAACTACAGGAAAACAAACAGAAGTTTAAACAGAAGTTTATACCTTCTGTATACACAGGACATACCTAGGAAAACTGAGTAACTCTTAAAAGGTCCCCAGCCATCACCTTAGCTAACATCTTCAGCTAATGACAAAAACAAAAAGTCAGGTGGGAAGTTTGCACAGGAAACAAGTATAAGGTTGTTATGCAATTTAAGCCACTGCCTCTTGATCAGAGTTTCTGGAGACTTAGACTCATCCTTTACTTCCTGGTACAGGGAGGGAGACACCCTTACAAATGGAGGTTTCGCTTATAAATGTAAATTTTTTTCTCACAAAAGGGCACCCTCTCTCTTTTCACAGATTCTTTTGAGTCAGGAGCCTCCCTAAAGTAAACATCCCTAAATAATTCCTATGCCAAAGAGGCATATTTGGGGGTAGTACCTGCTCCCTTTCATTTATATATACTTTACTTTTCAAAAACAATTTTTCTATAGCTTGGACACTTAAGTTTCCTATTGTTCTGAAAATAACAATTACTTATAAAAGAAACTAACCAATATGAGTTTAGATTCTAGGACTTAGAACATTTACTGCCACCTGGGTTCTATTTTTTTTTAACGTTAACGGAGAGTCGAACTTTGAAAGTAAATATAAGCTGTAGGGCCATTTGGTCCAGTTCTTCCATTGTGCAGATGAGAAAGGTGAGTGTCAAAGAGTGTAGGGCACTGGCTTTGCTAATTAATGATCTAAGATGGACTGAAATCTATCTACCCTCTATGCACTTTATGCCTTCCTCAAAGCCAAATTTTGTCCTTGCATCTGTATATTTAAATCTGTATTCTAAATATAACTGAATCATTTAAAGATAATGATTGCGCCCCAAAATTTTTGAAAAAAAAATGACTGTGTTGTCTTGTAACCATAGTTAGTACGAATTTGTAGTCATGTGTGCCTTGCTGCCAGATTCTTCAGTCTGTGTTCACTCAGCTCAAAAGACCAAGATTCAAATAAGGTCACTTGAATACATAAAGAATAGCATAAAACGTTTGCAGTGACATATTTTATCCATTGCATGCAAGGTCTCCATTCACAAATTTGCTCAGCCCCTGCAATCTCACATATGGCCAGCAGATGGAAGCAAATAACTTTGCAAAATACCAAAAGCACCTAGCAATGTACCACAGCATCCCATTCGTGGGGTCTGTACACGTCTTGAAATAACACTATCTGCTCCCTCAAAACTTAAATCTCTAATGACCGTACGCTTTAACCAATAAGCTTGAATTACTTACCAGGGATGTGATCATTTGAGGAGGCATTTTATTATTACGTGTTTAAGAAGGTTCAGTGTGACCGAGATCCCTGTTTCAACGCACACGACAGTCTAAAAAGTTTCAATCTAAATGTGAAGACTGAGACTTTATTTCAGAGCTATTTTGCATGAATTCATACAAATGGCAAAAATAATGTATGTAAACTAAGTTCTCGACATAAATCCATTCAACTAAGAGAGTAGAATCGACTTTAGTTGGCTAGGGCAGAATGCAATGCTGTTGACTTTATAAATGTCTGGAGGAATTTTATGTGTGTGTGTGTGTGTGTCTGTGTTTGTGTGTGTTTGGCGGGGGGCAGGGGTGGTTATGGGATATTTTCTTTGGGAGAGAGCTAGCAGGAAAAACCGGTAAAGCCCAAAAGACCACAAAACAATTCCCAAATGCAGCCTTTCTGCGAATAAAGATAGCAAAGCTTTCATCTTAAAACTGTGACTTCCCTTTTTGAGGAGAGCACCCTCACCCCCACGAATTATTTTGTTCTCTTCATCCTACGCTTTTTTGCAGCTTAGTTATCAGGGGACAAGAGAGAGTTGGCAGGAACCCTGGCAGCCCAGGGCTGCTGGCTCAGCACACTTAAATTTGATACTGAGGAAGGCAGCCCCCTCTTAGGTAGGAGCAATATGTCACCAAGGTAAGCTCAAACCAAGGGTCTGTTTGCAAATAAGAGCTATGCATTGGCATCACAGCAGGGGCTTAATGAGAGCGCTTTTAATTAACTGTAAAAGTAATTACCCATATTAGATGTAAATCACACTTGTTTTTACATGAGGTGAATAATTTTAGTGCAGCTTTTAAGAATAATACTTCTGGAGGGGTTGTCAGCTGCACTGGCTCTTAACAAGTCCACGTGTTTAAAAACAGTATCTAGGAGGAAAACACCAACCCAGAAAGCCTTGGGTTTGTCACCTGGCTTGTGCCAGCTTTGCAGCTTCTCTCTTCACTTATATGAGGCCCCGCCGCTAAGCACACCCTCTCCACAGGTGCCTGGGAGAAACACCCCCACTAACACTTACAAATCCTATCAGGTTTTTGTTCTATAACGTTGTGTTTTTTGTCTTCTTGGCTATTAGCCTCCTGGAAGATCCCCAGCACTTCCACTGATGGGTTCTTGTGCATAATTAAGGGATTCATCCGGAAACATATGAACCAGAGGGAAGATGAAGGAAGAAGCCCAACCGGCCACTGGTGAGCGTCTTCCATGAGCTAAGGCAGATATTGTCCAAAGGACAAAACAGATTCCTAAGGAGGAAGTGCAGAGGCACCCAGCCCAGGCTCACAGGGGTCCCGGGGGCCTTCGGGGAGGTAAGGGATTGCACCCTAGAGTTCCAGGGCAGCACCCCTGATGCAGGCAGATGTCTGCATGAGCAGCTCCAAAACAGAAAGGCAGCTCTCCGACGGACTTATAAAAGGTACCAGAGAAGATGGTGGTCAGGGCCGGGAGGGAGCAGAGGGAGAACTCCTTGAGTGGGAAAGTGTGCTAAGATGCCATCCTCTGGGCTCCTGAAATGTCCCTGACTTGGGAAAAGTGTGGGGTGGGCCCCTGAACCTCCCTTTTGAACCACAGAGAGGCATAAACAGCCAGGATGGAGTTTGCAAATACAAAATTACTGGGTAATTATTTATACTTTGATAGGCACCTTCATTAAGGGATTTGAGGATGCAATTATCAAATTGAAGTTCAGTGCACTCCAGTTAGGCAACAGAACTGAACGTCAGGAAAGCAGAATGAAGGCAGAAAGGGGAGTTTAAGCCCTGCCCACTGATTGGGCCAGCAACTTGGGTGTCGCTCAAATCCTTTTTAAAAACAAACCTGGCCTTCCATTTGAAGAGCATGGCTACCATTGTGATTTCCTGTCTATAGCCTCCTTTGGGTTTTGGTTGCTGCTGTGTTCTTATTAATGCTCGTAGTTGATCTCTGCCTTAAAACAACCCCAAGAGGGGGTTAGAGCAGGAAATGTACTGGTTTGATATGGTGCCCTGAAAACTTAATCTGGTTTTGAGACCAATGTCTCAAACATCTGATACAATGTAGCTATTTCCCACATTGCCTATATAAAGGATTCAAATTAAGAAAAAAAAATAAAGACTATAGCTTGGTTCTTAATTAATATACCAACCTCTTGAGGAAATGTGACACAGTGAACATTCAGCTGTACTAAGAAAATGAAATAATTCACAATGATATTTGAGGGCAAACGCAATGAGAAGTTATATGATTTTTTTAAGTTTTATTTTAGAGAGCGTGCACAAGCAGGAGGCGGGTAGAGGGGGAGAGAGAGAGGGAGAGAGAATCTTAAGCAGGCTCCACACTCAGCGTGGACAACAAAGCAGTGCTTGATCCCATGACCCTGGGATCGTGACCTGAGCTGAAATCAAGAGTTGGACATTCAACTGAGCCACCCAGGTATCCTGAGAGGTTGTATTTTAATTTTCCCTCCATGTACAGATACAAATACACAAGACAGAAGCCGCAAGAACCAGTCTACCTTGCTTCAAATCCTACCTCTGCCCCTTAATAGCTCTGTGACTTCATGAGGCAACTTATCTGTGTCCTCAGTTTCCATATTTCAGAAAATGGAAGAAATGTCAGTCCAGATACCATCAGGCTGGTGTTAGTATAAACAAAGTAATTAAAGTGCTATCATGTAGCCAGAGGGGTCAGAAGTGTTTTTTATGATAAGTGCAATTTTTAAATTTTATTTATAGTATATATGTATATCCATTAGATATTATTCTGCATATGAGATAATTTTATCGTAATTATTCTTCTTCCTTCTTTATGTAAGATGGTTCTAAACACTGCCTGAATTCTTCTGTGTCATTGCTATTTCTGTCCATGAAATGGACCCCTAGTGGCAACAAAAATGGCAATTTCTAAGAGCACAAGTCTCCTGGGAATTGACGCTAATAGATGGTCTATCTCAACATCCACTAAGTCACTCTTGCGAGGAACTTCACACTACAATGACTACACAAAACTACTTAACTGAATATTTATTCTCCTTGTAAGCATCGTCAGATATTCCAGAAACACATCTAATGGTCAAAGCAGGGATTATGTCAATTAGCAAACGTATAACACAACTGAAATTCAACAGAACTAATGCAAACTCTCTAAAAAAAAAAATAGCATGCTGGGTTACCTCATGAGTATACAGAGATGAGTTGCCAGTTTCCAAGAAGTGGCTCTGTTCTGATACATTGACAAAGCTTTGCTGATTGCTGGATGGAGCCACGGCTCTCCCAGAAAACTGATGTTTGCAGCATTCCTTTGGGCTGTAACAATCCTGTCAACCACAGTTTCTTGGGAAGCAATATTTTCTGTCCCCTGTGACCTTGGTTTGGCATCTCACTTTCTGGTAGGAAATGGATAGTAGCCTTTTCAATAAGGTTAAGTAATCAACTCTTTGTTCCAGGAATACAAACTTTATTGTCTACAGCCTAAGTCATCTACAAATGGTTGTCATTACTTCCACTCCTGCTCAAGCTAAATCAGCGTGGATTTGGAAAAGATACAGATATCTCTTTTTTTCTGTCAATTTTCTACACTGTGGAATGGGTGTTATGAATGAGACAACATAAGAGGAGAAATGGAAAAATTTGCTATTACCAGGCCGAACGTAATATAAACTTGTGTAATAGAAAAGCTATTCAATCTGTGTGTACATATCCTCACTCATCAAAAAAACATACAGAGATCTTGGTTTAGCTTCCAGTGGAATATTCCTAAATTTGACAATATGGATCTAAAAGTTAATATACCACAAAAATTTTTTTAATCTTATTACACTGAATGTGTAAATCTAAATATGTGGACCCTGAACTTCAGATCCCCAAGACTAAATTTAAAAATCACCAGAGAAAGAACCACTTAAGCTTTTTCAGAAAAATGAAATAGAAATATGAATGTAAATGTTCTTTCCCAAGCCATGTGATTTATTAGTAATCCATTCTGCAAAACACTCCTATCAATTCTCACATGAGTACAGGAAAAAATGTACCTTAAAAGAGACAGTTTAGGATAATTACATTTCTCTCCTTGTTCATCTTTTCCCCCAAATGCCATGTTTACTTGCAGAAACTGTCATTTGCTTTTTATTCACAAAAAGAGAATTAAGAATATTCCCTTTAAAGTTTTGATTACTTTCTCTTTTGCACTGGCAGTCCTATACAATTAATAGCACATAGACACTATGTTGGGAAAGAGTAACAAAAATCTAAGCTATCCCTCAGGACGTCTTAAATACCTCAATTATCCACACTGGCCTGGGAATGAGGTAAGAAAAATAAGCTGCCTGTGGCCATCCAAGAAGGCTACCTCTTTAAAAACAGAAACTCTGTCATTTAACCATTCTGGGTGAAATCCCTAAAAAATGTGTTTCACTGTCTCCACTTTCTAAAGCATGGATAGTTGCTTCTGACATTGCAACTTGGTGCAATACTACCACCAGGATGCTAACCTTAGAAAGTCTTGCCCTCCTTCTAAATAGCCCCATGTCTCTGTCCTATGTTGTGTTCTTGAAGAATATGCAGACCTATTTCAGTGTTATTCTAATGCCTGCCTTCATGCTCAGTGTACTTCCTGCTGTCATTTCTTTTAATTTGGTTCTAGATTCACAATCAGTAACCTAGGGTGTGCTTTAGAGTTTCAATCTTTTTAAATACTGAAAGTTAAATACATGTTCTGGTGTTTTCTCCGTTTGTTTACTGACTTTGACATTTGTAAGCTTCAGATGATCAAATATAATAGAAATCTGTCTGCTTTCTGGTGCATTAATTAGAAGATTACTATTTTTTTAAATATTTAGTTGCTTTCAGTTCAGATGCATTGCATATTGACTTAAATGCATGAGCTTGACTTTTCAAGTTTGTTTAAACAGTTGATGTTAGGTGGAATGTATAAATAAATAAAACTAAATTTCCTTTTGGTATCATAATTACCCCAAACCCATTCTGAATTGGCAAAAAGCATGGGGCTCCTTGGATTTATTTAAATTACAGGGAAAAGAGTCATGCTTTGACCAATCCCACCTCCTCTCCTAGACTTATTCTATGATGTTCCTCCCCAGATACTGCATTCTGTGTGAATCTATTCTTAAATATTTTTTTTTATGTTCCAGAAACTTGCCTCACTGTGCCCCCTCAACCTGAATCACTCTCCCTCTGCTGACCCAACTACCTGCTTACCAAAGCTCATTTCACCTCCTACTCTGCTCTGCTACTCGGGAACACACTGCTCTCTTCGGGACCATGCTCTCTACTGCAGGACTGATTTCACCTGGATATTTCCAGTATACTTTATACATGCCTGTCTCTTCCATGACATTATCAGCTCCTCAAAGGCAAGGGTACCAAAATCAACAACTAGCTTTCTTCCAAAAACGTAATTCTTAGTGATAAAATATATATAATTATTATAAATATACATATAATATATACTATATAAATAAAATACAAAATATAAAAATAAAATATAAATATATAGTATGTAATTTATGAATATATTATTTTATATTCACATATTTCATATTCATTTAATATAAAATAAATATGTAATATTTGATAAATAAGTATATGTTATATATCATATGCATGATATATCATGTATTAAATACATATATATTACATATATTATATATATGTGTATATATATATATATATATATATAATATATTTACATAGGATTTCATTCACTGAATCCCATGAGGCAGGCACAGTGATTAATCCCCATTTTAAAGAAAACAAACTCAAGCGAGGTTAGGTTTCTTGGAAGGTCACAGCTGGCAAATGTTGCCTCTAGAAGGTAAACGTGGTTTATTTCACCCAAAAGCCAGTGATCCTAACTACTTAGCTGATTGGTTTTCCTGTTACACTTACCACCATTTTCTAAATTTTTTTTTTAACGTTTATTTATTATTGAGAGACAGAGAGACACAGAGTGTGAGCAGGGGAGGGGCAGAGAGAGGGGGAGACACAGAGTCTGAAGCAGGCTCCAGGCTCCGAGCTGTCAGCACAGAGCCCAACGCGGGGCTCGAACACATGAACCGGGAGATCATGACCTGAGCCAAAGTCGGTTGCCTAACCAACTGAGCCACCCAGGCGCCCCAACTTACCACCATTTTCTTAAAACAGTAACCTAGCCCACAGAAAAAAAAACTGTGTTTAGTGAAGTTACTGAAAGCACAACAGAAGGCAGTTTTGCTATTTATTTGCTTTTCTGACACTTTTGAGCTTCCATCAATGAATCAGTACATTTGGTGTAACAGAATATATGAATGCTTGTGTGTATGTGTTTGTGAGAAACGCACATAAAGGGTTCAACAAAGAGCCTGGATTTTTTCTTTTTTTTTTCAACGTTTATTTATTTTTGGGACAGAGAGAGACAGAGCATGAACGGGGGAGGGGCAGAGAGAGAGGGAGACACAGAATCGGAAACAGGCTCCAGGCTCCGAGCCATCAGCCCAGAGCCTGACGCGGGGCTCGAACTCACAGACTGCGAGATCGTGACCTGGCTCAAGTTGGACGCTTAACCGACTGCGCCACCCAGGCGCCCCAAGAGCCTGGATTTTAAAGTCACTCATACATATGCCCAATTACAATCTTCACTAACTGGCTTGAAAGCAAGAAATACCATGCATTCCTGTAGCCAGGCTAAAGTCTACACATTTAAACGCTCAAGAACACCTTTCCACCTACCTGTGGAAGATCAGTCTTTCTTGGTTTACAGCCACAAACAGCGTTCTGAACATATGACCTGTCCTACCATCCCCACACCGACACTGGGGCACTCGCAAGCTTCGTCTGTAAGATGCATAAAGCCATTGCAACTTTCCCCCACGGGCTGAAAAAACACAGGCCCCAGGGAAGACACTGGCCAATCCCAGAAAAACACACCAAGATTTTGTATTCCGATCTCACCCCCCTTCCTTTTTTTTTTTTTTAAGTAACCTCTGCCAGGACCCTGAACAACGGGAAGCTCTCAACCTATTTTAGAGGCTTACAATTTCCCATCAGCTTCCTGTCGGAGAGCTCAAATGGTCCCATCCCCTTGTATAAGGTTAACAGGTTTTAAGAAAAAAGATCAGCTCTGGTAATAGCAAATATAATGAAAAAGAAGAGCCACTGCCGATAAAGTCAGCCTAAGTCACTCTCCCAGGTCACAGGCCTCGAGGCTGCTTAGAGCTTTATCAATGAATTCCAGGTTGGATAGGCCTGGCATATACTTCAGCTGAAAAGGAGCTTTGCTGGGTATCACATGGGCACAGCGTCATCAAAGGAATACCTCGAGCAAAACACCCGTGCCAGCCTGCCTTCTTACCCTGCATGGCTGAGTTTTGTTCTACTAAATCCATCGATAGTGGCCAGGGACCCTGTGTCTCCATCTCCCCCTCCATGGACTTTCGGTGCATGGTTAGCAGACACAGATATGCAGGCAAGAAGATGCTGATGACCAGAGGAATATTGTCTCAGCAGGATGACTGACAACGACAGGAACTCCAAGCTGCTTCTCAAGTCCCTTTTATTTCTCCACAGAGCTCAGATTTTTATAAGAGACACACTGTGTAAGTTTAAAGTGTACAACACAGGGTGCCTGGGTGGCTCAGTCAGTTAAGCATCTGACTTCGGCTCAGGTCAAGATCTCGCGGTTCACAAGTTTGAGCCCCATCCAGCTCCCTGCTGTTATCACAGAGCCTGTTTAAGAGTCTCTGTCCTCCTCTCTCTGCCCCTCACCTGCTTGTGCTCTCTCTCTCTCAAATATACATAAACATTAAAAAAAAAAAAGGGGGCGCCTGGGTGGCTCAGTAGGTTAAGTGTCCGACTTTGGCTCAGGTCATGATTTTGCAGTCGTTGAGTTTGAGTCCCACGTCGGGCTCTGTGCTGTCAGCTCAGAGCCTGGAGCCTGCTTCAGATTCTGTGTCTCCCTCTCTCTCTGCCCCTCCCCTGATTGCACTCTGTCTTTCTCTCTCTCTCTCTCTCTCTCTCAAAAATAAATAATAAACATTAAAAAAATTTAAAAAATAAAGTGTACAACATAATGGTTTTATATATGTACATGTTGTGAAATACTAACCACGATAAGTTTAGTTTAATGTCCATCACCTCACATAATGACAATTTTTTCCCCACGATGAGAATTCTTAAGGTCTACTCTCTTAGCAATTTTCAAATATATAATACAGTATTTTAACTATAGTCACCATGCTATTACATCCCCAGAGCTTATTCATCTTATAACTGAAGTTTGTACCCTTTGACCCACCTTCACCCAATTCCCCCACCTCTTAACCCCCAGCCTCTGAAAACCACAGATCTGTTCTCTGTTCCCATGAGTCTGGATGTTTTTGTTGGTTTGTTTTAAGATCCACATATAAATGGGATCTGTTTTATTTCACTCAGCATCATGCCCTCGAGGTCTATCCATGTTGTCATAAGTGGCAAGATTTCCTTTTGTTTCAATTTAAAATTTATTTGTTTATTTTTGAGAGAGAGACACAGCACAAGCAGGGGAGGGACAGAAAGAGGAAGACACAGATTCTGAAGCAGGCTCCAGGCTCTGAGCTGCCAGCACAGAGCCCAACACAGGCTTGAACTCATGAACTGTCAGATCGTGACCTGAGCTGAAGTCGGATGCTTAAACAACTGAGCCACCCAGGTGCACCAAGAATTCCTTCTTTTTCATGGCTGAATAGTATTTCACTATCTGTATATTCCACATCTTTATCCATTCATCCACTGATGGACACTTGGGTCATTTCCACATCTAGGCTCTTGTGAATAATGGCGCAGTGAATACGGAGGTGCAGATATCTCTTTAGGATAATGGTTTTTCCTTTAGATATATATCCACAAGTGTAACTGCTGGATTGTAGGGTAGTTCTACTTTTAACTTTTTGAGATACCTTCACAGTGTTTTCCAGAGGCTGTATGACTTTATATTCCCACTGGTCCAAAGCTGATCCAATCTGCTGTTGTTGTGATTTTTAGCTAGCACACAACGAACACTGGCCTGTGGCAAGCACATCCCAAAATGGTTTACACACATCACTTCCACAACAATCTCATGCAGTAACTTTTACTATCATCTACCTGTACTTCAGGAAGGAAGAAGCTGAGGTCCAGAGAAATGAGGTAATTTTTGTTCAGGACACATAATTAATAAGTGGCAGATACAGTTATCAAATCCAGGTATATCCTTATGAAATATTCATTAAACTATGAAATTTCTCTATTTGAAACCCTAATGGCTTCCCAGTCCACTGAAGATGAAACCCAACTCCCCACATGGCCCTATTTGACCCGTTCCCTAATGACTTTCCTTACCGACTGTTGTCCCCTCTACTCTAGCCACATTGACCTTCTGACAGCTTCTCAAGGGCACCTTCCGTTGTTGGTCTGCCTCCCCCTGCAAAGCTCCTGCTCAGAATACCCCCCTGGCTGGCTCCTTTCCCCATCTTGGTGTCTGTTCTCACACACCTCATCACTGAGCTATGCCCCTGTCGCGGTAATGTTCTACTGTCTCTTTCATCTTCTTTATCGCACGTACTATTTTTTGTACCTATATCATTGTTGTTGTTTATTTTTCTGTCTCTAGGTCTACCAGACTCTTAGCTCCAAGAAGGTAAGGTCTTTCACGGGCTTATTTTCCATGTCAGATCCTCACTTAGATCAGTACCTAGCATGTAGAACCTGTTCAGTAACAACTTAACCTCCCTACACTACTTGCCCTTTCTTTGGGGTATCCCTCCAAAAATGCTTCATAATAAAGAAGGTTTTTTTTTTTTTTTTTAAAACATATGTCTACTTCACCTTCTTACAAGGCTCTGCCTTCCTTTTCTCTTTTTTTTAATTAAAAAATTTTTTTAATGTTTACTTGAGAGAAAGAGAGAACAAGCAGGGGAGGGGCAGAGAGTGAGGGAGACACAGAATCCGAAGCAGTCTCCAGGTTCTGAGCTATCAGCACAGAGCCCGACTCAGGGCTCGAACCCATAAACCACAAGATCATGATCTGAGCCGAAGTCGGACTCTTAACCAACTGAGCCATCAAGTGACCCTGCTTTTTTCTTAAATATCCATTAAAGATGCGTCTTCTCTTGCTACCTCCCACCTCCTTCCTCTCTTCCCCTCCCTTTCAATGCACATACTGGTTTTTTGGTTTTATTCTATTTGACTCTTTACTTTTCCTTATCCTTCTATTTACCTATCCCTTAACCTCTACTTCTTTCCAACATTAGATCCACATATTTCCAACATCTATTTCAATTACTCTGGCTGTGACCTTCTAAATTTCTATCTGCCTTTGCAACTTAGGGTTTCTTTCTCTTTCCTTGTGCATGTACCTCCCCCCCCAATATTCCCTGCCCCCTTCTACTTTTATCCATATTAAATGTCTTCTCTTAGGTATTTCCAGTCAGGTTGACAATCAACCAATTAAAACTAAGTGCAACCTCCTTCTCTCCACCAAATCC